ACTATATATTTGGTGTTATCAGAATCCTTCATATTTCACCATCAAGCATAACCCTGTTTCTATAAGCGAATTTAATGTCAGGGATGAAGAAGCAAAAGTAAAATATTTATTCTTTAATGGCCAAAATAAGAAAAAACCGAAATCGATCTGACTTGATAGCCTGTCGAAAGATTTTAGTTAATTGCTGATATGTCATTTTGATGACAGTATGATCTAATAGTGTATCAAAACTATTGCAATACTTCTTTGAAGTCGCAAATTACGTAACTTAATCTATGGAATCAAACAGTCGGAGCTTACGATTTACAGTATTACCATTTAGCTAGTATTCTACGGCTTTTATGTGTGTGTTTAGCATAATGATTTATGGGGCTATAAAATCGAGGTATTAGAAATAATGTCCTTAATACACATATTGATTTTAAATTTACTACGCGTGGCTAATCAAAGGAAACAATTCAAATGAGGTAGAGGATTAAAGGAAATATCTCACTATTATAATTAAGTTATTGCTTTTACTAAAAAAAAAAATCTAATTCTAATTGATTCTTTTTGTCAATATTGTAGTAAAACACTTCAAACAGTTTCATTGAAAGATAATGAATTTGAAATGAGATTTTGATATATAAGTCAATTGGGAATTACACCTGTGGCTATGGGGATTCTTGTTTAATTTCATTGTTGTATAATGTGAGATTATGTTATATGATGATGGCATTAGACCCTTTATTCACCCATGTCCAGCCAGCTTTTAAGGGAATTGGAAAAACTTACTACATACCCCATGTTTTGCACATGATCGAGGCTCTTATCACGAAAAAAAAGCTCCTGCAAAAATTTCAGAGAAAATATCAAAACCATGTAACACATTTTCAATTAAAATGAAATTAACTTCACTGTTCTTCTCCGACTAGGCTAATAAAGATGGGCATACAGTGTGCTAAGAGGTAAATTTTGCCCGGACAGTGGCACTACGAACTACTCTTATTTTGAATTCCAACTGCCAAGGGGTCTTTTACTTGCGTGCCAATATGTACATGGGACCTTGGTTCTTTGTCCCAACCGAATGACTATACAGCTTTCCTTGTCAGGCCGTCCGTTCTGCACCACTGACAAGTGGAAACCACGCTGATATATCACGATGGACTATCTTGGCCAACATCAAAAGCGAATCTGCGACCTCCAGGCTAGCGAGCCAATGTCTTACGCACTGAGCCATCGTTGCTCCCGATTTTCAACTGGTTTTGCCTTTAGAGCAGGGATGCTGTTTCATAATTTTGCTTGTCAGACATCATTATAGAGTAAATGTTTTCTTTTCAAATTAATCTCAAATTATGATTATTTCTTTTAAAACCTTGTGAGCAGGCTGTAGAGATTATTTTAAACCACATTTGAGAAAACTTGGCAAGGATGGCATGTTACATGAATTAATTGTTTTTTTTTATAAATCTGACCAGAGCCTTCTCTGCTCATGCAGAGCATATTTATATTTCTTTACTCCTACATTCATCGAAAAAGAGTCGAACAAACAAACATGCAAAGCATTGCTGCCGTTTTTGCCACACTCCACACGAATCCAAAACATGTATGCATCTAAATGTGCAAAAATCTTGTCCCAGAGCTTCCTTCAGATTCCATGCCAAACTTGGACCCCTTCGGGTGAAATTCTAGAACATGCCCAAGACATCTTGTCACTGTTGGAGTATAATTTCTAATACTGAATCTAAAATGCAACACCTTCTTCACTTTATCAGTTCATGGTGTTTAGGAAGTCTAGTATATTTAGTTAAAAGTCTTGTTCTGTTTAACAGTTACCAAGTTATCTCACACTTAACTCATATAATCACATTCTCTTCTTCTTTCATCTTGCCAAAATTACCTCCACTTTACTTTTGTGTGTACTGTTACATTGTTGATGTATTTGAATGTGTTATAAGATTATGTTGATAAAAGATGTTTCCTCTGTCAACAGTTTATATCTTTAGAAAAGGGGAAAAAACTTGATGTTAACACCAACATTAGACAGTATCAAATAAAATACAAAGAGAACACAGATAGCTAATTTTCAAATTTTAGTATAGAATGTTTTTTTTAAAGATGTATAGAACTAGCAGTATTACATGGCTTAAAAAACAATTTTCTTTGTCAATACCTGTATATCTAGTATATGGTTTTACACGATTTTAGCAAGGGATACAGTGCACGGTGTACAGTGTTGGGTGGGTGGGGCACAATCCCCCCCACCTCCCAATATTATTCAGACAACATTAAATTTTGGCACAGTTGTCACAGGTCTCAAACATTTTGACTCCATATAATAAACCATAGTACAGTTTTTAAACAAAAACTATTGTTTTGAAGTGAACAACCAATGTTTCATAATATAAAACCATAGTTTTCACCATTATTTAGAGAAGTATATATGAACTAACTAGATGTATTTAAGATGGGGTAAAAACTGTATTCTATAAATCTCTATAGACAGATCATCACCCAGCATGAAATCTCCTCAAACTGATGGTACTAATCATTCTATCAACATGATGGACGCAACATTAACTTAATTATAATTTGTAGTTTATTTTACTCAGGTCATACTGACATTCACATAACTTTGAAGATCATTTTACACACCCTTCAGTAGAGGCCAATATTTTAAAACCTGTTTCCTTTTTTAATCAAAGGTTATGGGAAAGATCTTATGCTTTTTATATGAGATAGATTTGTTTTACCTGCTCTTCAGATAATATAGTCTTGATGATCATGTCCCTTACTTTGACCTAGTAGGAGCATGTTCAGGTATTGGAGCAGAGCAGGGTCCAAGTTGGAGACAACAAGTTTGGTGTGAGCTATAGGTCTTGGGGATTAACCGAGAATTTGTAAACTCAGAAGCTCTGAGACAAAATTTCTGGACAGTTCGATGCAAACATGTTTAGTATTACAGTGGAGTGAGGCCAAAATGGTGAACCCCCTGTCTGGACACATGCTTTCCCAACTTTCATGGATCCAGTAGCGGATTATCAGTGAGGCTGATGAAGATGCAGCCTCAGGCCCAAAGATTTTGTAAAAAAAATTTTTTTAGACTTGTCTGATACGATTAAAAACGCATAGACAATGAATGTTAGGGGGTTGGGGTTTAGGCCCAACGGGAATCAACATAGGCCCTGACCCAAAATTACTTAGGCCCACGCCATTTTAAATAGGCCCTATTGTTTGGAGATCTGATCTTATTTTTTAAACGTAGGCCTACAATGTACGTTAAATCCTTGTAAGTTTTCGGTTATGTCTTGCTTAATATATTGTATCCACGTGACGTCATTTATGGGCATATAAAGTTACATTACGTTTATAATGTTAGCAACTACCTTGGCTCTAACTTTAAAAACTAAATAGGCCCTCCAGCAACTGCCGCCTCAGGCCTTGGTGGAGCTTAATCCGCCACTGCATGGATCCACAAACTTTACTCATGAGTATGAAGTGAGGAGGATCCTGGAAGGCTTTGTGCGAGAGTACACTTCACATTATCCCACATATCATACTTGCTTTAAAGGTCATGAACCAGGCTTGCAACCATTGAAATGTTCAAAAGGCATTTTGATCAGTATTTTTTGCAGTAATATTTTGCTTAATTACCGTACTGTTCACTTGGTAATACTTGTTTTTTTGCATTCCTATGTATTCAGGAAGCACTTAAACTTCCATAATAATTGTATTTGATGTTATTTCTTATTAAACCTGAGTTATTTGTTTGACCTTCAGAACTGTTTTTGACATTTTGTGAATAGTGAATAGTGATTTATGATACGTAAAGTTATTCCTGCTTTGTCCATTTTCAAAAAAGATACAACAATGACGACCTTCTTTTCAAATGTAATAAAGACAACTGGGAGAATGTGCCAAGTCACAGAAGAATTATTTTGATTGGTTTCTTCAGGGGTGGCATGGTATTCAAGAGTTAGTGAACTGTCCACAAAAACATTTTAAGCAGACATAATATCTGTCTCTTGCTGGGTGTCAAACAAATCATGTGATGTAACTAATTACCTGTGTGGCGTGAATTGGGCCACAGCGTACTGTTCAGTATGAGTGAATTTACATGTCGGATTTGTATATTAAACGTTAAAAACACATAATTTCATATTTATATATAATATCCCAATAAACAGTGTCCCTTGTGTGAACATAATACAGCACTAAACATACCCAAATCCGGTGGCCGAATGGTTAACGCGTGGGTGTTGGATCATAGGGTCTGTCATTGAGTCGAGTGGCATGGTTTCGATTCTCTGCATGTACGTGATAAGGAGTATGATCGTCTGTCCAACATCATGGGTTTTCTCCAGGTTCTCCAGTTACCTCCCGCTGCTAAAATCCTCTACGCGCAAACGAATTACTGAAATAAAATTGAACAATATATTAGTCCTGAAATGACCTAGTTTATATGGTGTGGACGTTAAACCCCATTTCTCTCCCTCTCTCTACATCTCTTCCGGTTTTGATAAAAATTCATTTTTCGCTTACAAAAACGGTTTTGCTTGTGTTACAGAGGCGCTTATTTCTGAATATATATTTAAGATTTATGGAAACCTTTTTGGAAATCGTTGGTCTCCCCCTTTAACCCATTCCATTCATTTCTTTGGAAAATGATTAAGTTGCTTCCGTTAGCAGTTATTTCTCTGTGACTTGGGTAACTCTTTATTGCAGTTAAGACACTTTAACATGTATTTGGGATTTCATCCTCCAGAGAGAAATTAATTGGCTACCAAGGAAGACACATCTTATCCTGCAATGATATTTGACTTGAAAAATTAGAATTTAAAAAGAAGCTGATTACTTCACAGACCTTTTGATTTTTATTGAGGAATTTTTATTGATTTTCTTGTAAAAGATTTAAAACATTTGGGTTATGAAGGGTATGGTTTGTGATTTCTGTGTGAGGTAATGTTTGATGAGAGTTGTCTGATTAACTCTCTAATGTTTTCTTTCCTTTTTCACTTCAGGCTAAATTGACGAAGAAATATAAAGTTGGTGGAATACCACGGTTCGTTTTATTGGATGGAGAAAACGGCAAATTAATAACAACAGACGGGTTTAGCCAATTAATGGAGGACGAAACAGGAAAAGATTTTCCTTGGCGTATCAAACCATTCCATGAAATGATTAAAGGAAAATTATTAAATGGAAAAGACGAGCTGATTGATTCTAACGAATTAATTAAAGGAAAAATAGTAGGATTGTACTTCTCAGCTCATTGGGTAAGATGCAATCTTTAATTTTTTTATGGTCAACGAGTGCTTATAATTTGTTTGATTCAGCATATAATGAGATTTGTGATCTGAAACTGAGCTTTAATCGCATTATCTCGCGACTAAAGTTGATCTGATTTTATATTTTTTGATTAACCAGACCTATACTTTAAGAACTAATACTAACCGTATGTAGATAATCACATTGCAGGGATCTGGTAACTGTTTTAAACCACAAAATGCTTGGAAGAACTTTCTTACATTTGATATACCGAGTGTCTTCAAATATGACAAAGGTTTGATGGTATGAACCTATATCCCATAATGATTTTTTGCTGAAAGTTGCAATCTATTTTTAGTTTCGGACGGAAGTGCCATTGGTGTTATTTAGCCAGTGTGTAGCGTGGTGGGTCTAATTTGATATGGGACAAATTTTTTGCAAAATTGTATTGAACTAGAACATGCTCATATTGCATTGGAGACAAATCATACTAAATTATTTGAAGTTTAATGAAATTTTGAGACCAAATACTGTAGAATTTAGTTTAATTTGTAAATGTACTGGTACTCTGGTTTTCTTGGGCTGCAAAAAGATCCGTGTATACTGGTACATACCTTGTGTGTCTTTACATACACATATTTGTATAGATTTTATTGCTTGGCTGCTAGACCTTTAATGCTAACCATGGTGTCTGCTATACCTCAAGAAAACTGACTTGCAGACAAATCTAGCTTCAAGTTTGAGACATGCTACAAATGTATGTGTCAGTCTGTATAATTGGCTAAATAAAAACCTCCGAGCACATCCTGGGAAGTATGTAGGTTTTTATTATTAGAAAACTATCAGAAACAGTCTTTATTATTGGATGGGAATCAGAAACTGCACATGACATTTATTTGTCTACGTAGACATTATAAACAGGTGTATTTGGTGGAGCAACAATAATCTTACTTGTTCGTGTTTACTAAAGTCAATATATACCAGTAGTCAGCATATACTCATCCTTTCTTATATGAGTAAATGAATCTTTCTTTAATCTGTCTGAAGCTTTCAAATCTATATGTATACATCTTAAAATAATTGCTTATGTATATGTAATTATCTCACACGTGACTTAATTTAAAAGAGAATATTGTGATATATTTTTTCATTGACTGATTAATTGACATGGAGTAGAAATATTGAAAGTGTGCCGTATCATGTTGGAATTGGAGTGTAGAACAGTGCTTTCACTTCAATTTTTGAAGTTTATTGTTTACTTCAGATTACAAGATATTTTTTTCCAAAAAATATGACAAGTTTTAGAATTATCCCAATTTCTTAATTTATTTTTAAGTGTTTTTATACACATAAACTAGATAATAACAGAATTTATAGTGTTTCAAGATGAAATTCTAATTTTCTGACATGCAAATGCCACTTTCAGTCAGTTAAGTCTCGGCAAATACGACTTCATTATTAAGGTGTAACGGTGATATGTTTAAACGGTTTGTAACATTGAATAAATATTGTGACCTCTAGAGGGTCCACAAACTAAAATCGCGATTTTTTTTGTACAATCAGGGGTCATAATCCAGGAAGTTACAGACTGATATACGCAAATACCAAAGGATCCAAGATCTTTGTGATATATACATCAATTTAATGTTTCATCAAAATCGGTTCAAAATTTTTATCTCTAGAAAGAGAGTCCACCACCTTAATATACCCTACTTTTACTTTATTTACTGAGGAGCGGCCATTTTCTAGAGCAGTTTCTGTCCGATTTTCACGAAATTCGAACTTAATCATCATTATGGTGTAACAGTGATATAATTGAACGTTTTTTTTAAATCATATAAAAATTGTGACCTCTAGGGTGACCACAAGGTAAAAATGCGATTTTTCGTACAATCAGGGGCCTAATCCAGGAAGTTGCTGTCCAATATTTGTGAATATCAACAGGAACCGAGATCTTTGGGTTATAAACACACATTTCAAGTTTCATCTAAATCGGATAAAAATTATGATTTTTCGTACAATTAGGGCCGTAATCCATGAAGTTTTGTCGATCCAATACATGCCAATATCGAAATTAACTGAGATCTTTTGGAGATAAACCTATATTTCAAGTTTTGTCAAAATCGGATAAGAATTGTGACCTGTAGATTGTGGACAAACAAATTGTGGACGGATGGACAGACAGGTGCTACCACAATATACAGCCACATGAAAATGTGGGCATATAAAAATACAAAAGCAGTATTTAATAGATTACAATAAAGATTTGTAATCAAGAGCACAAGCAAAATAATGTTTTGTAATTCATATGGTGGAGCCAGTAAGTAAATATTTTAATAAGATATATGGATGTGGGATAATTTTAAAAGCCAATAAACATTAGAATAAGAATATAAAATGGCACATTTATAGTCAGGGAGACAGGTGCATACTGAAAGTAAGTATGCCAGACATTTGAACAGATTTTATCCTTTCTACCTTGTATAGATATTCATGAATAACACCCTGTTTAAATTCCAAACTCAGACTGTCTATAAATTACTTGAATAATGTGGGTGAATGTATATAAATGAACTTCATTACTTATCAGCTACCGTCAGGGCCTGTGAGTGGGTGGTGGGTAGCTGGGACCAGAGGTATGCCGAGTAATGTTTTTTAAAAAAATTTGTAGTTATAAATTAATAAAAAAATATACACTGTTACTTGATCGATAAGTAGAAGAAAAACAGTGACTTTTATGAATGTGGGTACCTAGAGGCATGGGTAGGTTTAGAATCGGATTCTGTCAGTCCACTTTTTATTCAAAAAAATTGGTGAATTAAAAACTATAAGGCAGCTTTAAACTGGACACATGTACAAATTTTATGCTTTTGGGTGATCTTAAATGATTTTTACGAATTTTTAAACAAGGATTTGATGTTAAACGGATGTGAAAGAAATTAGTGCTAGATACACAAGATGAAAAGATACGCGTGTTACAGATACATATATGTTCAATTAAACATAGAAGACCCAAAAATATTTGAGATAAAGGTGTGGTCCAGGATGTTGTCTACTATAATTCAGTGGAGCATTTGCCAGTGTTAATTAAAGCATTATTAATCCAAGATTATTCCCTTTAACACCTATAGTTGTCATTCAGCCAGAATACCTCTGATTGAATCATACTACAATAATTCTTTGATATTACATTCTAATAGTTTTCTTTTGTTGTTTTCTTTGATTTTTGTCCATGTAAATAGATTTACAAAATAAAATAAGTACATAACTTCATAGAAACATGACTTGAAAAGAATCAGGATCTGTGCTTTAGAACTGCTTAAAAGATCAACACCTTCTTATTGCTGTTTACTAGTCTATATAGGTAAAGATAAAAGATGAAGATAAAAATATAAAGAAACTAACAGCTGTGTAAAATGTTAAATCTGTTTTTCGAACTCTGCATCAGGTTATGTAATAAATAAATAGCACAGATGGTTACAAACTAGGAGAAAATCATCCCAAATCTTCAGACGTGAGTTTTTAGGACTTTTTCACATACATGATGTATTTGTATCTGCAGACATTTTGTGTCTGTCTTTTCTGTACGTATGCAACATTTGCCAGTCTTAAATGTCCTTGTGCTAAAGGAATTTGAACCTTGCTAAAAGAAGTTGGTTTAATTATGCATTCTGAAATGGTTAATGTATTCCTATTAACCTAGGCTGTGCACTCCTAGTCATAATACTGCCAGTTTTTAGAGAATATCTGATTTACCATCCTGTGCTATGACAGTTAAATTATGATGATTTACCCTTGTTTTATGAATTACAATTACCAGTATGTATTTTAGGTTAGATTTTTTTTATTGTATCACAATTAACTATCAACCATTTAGTTTAAAAATTAAAAAAAATATTAATTTGAGGAATGGAATTGGGTTCAATTTTTCTGCTCTTACATCTATTAAAGATATTAAACTATTACCAAAAAATGAAGACATGACTGTTATGTTTACTTCAAAAGAGGAAATGGATAATTGATAGGAATTTAAACTGATGTTTTCTGAGTTTGCTTTCAGAATTTGATCTAAGAAAATTAGATTTATGAAGATACTAATGAAAATAACATGTCTGAAAAAAAAACCCTAACCCAAAATATAATTTTGCGAATATGAAAGGTTAGGTTGACATAGACGACTAAACTCAGCATGCATATCAATTTTGATTGATATTACCAGTAATATAGAGCCGAAATCAAATAAAAAATTATTTCTACAGAATCAATATTATAACTTTTTTCAGCTAATTGTAATACCAGGAATATTTAGTTTGCAGACTGTAGGCCAGAATTTCACAAAGAAGTGGGGCTTGGTCCACATACTTAATTGTATCCCTCACACCCAGGGGCAACCAAATAATACGAATATCCCCACTCCCCACCAGTAGAAAAATAAATCCATGAATGCTGAATGATTATTAGATGTTTTAGTTACTATGGTCATTTATTTGGCCCTTTAAAAATGTGGGGCCATCGCATCATTGTGCAGTGGCTCTCCACCACTGGACACACCTTGCTCTCTAGTACACCATACACAAATCAAGCCCCGTTTTCATTAGCCCAGTTCGGAGCAGAACAGTAGGACAGTAAACCCCATTTCATTTCATTTCATTTCACAAATTAAGCAGACAGTTTTGAAAATATTGACAAGATTGTAATTACAAGACGCAAGGCAATGTGTGGGTTTTAAATAAAAAATGGGATTCTACCTGACCTATGTGCAGATAATTACAACAAAAAGTATTTAATAATTTGAAGATAATTAGATCTCTTGTTCAGTTGAAATTGATAAGAGCTATTAAAAATGTATTCTCTTGAAGTTAGTGTCATGGACACATGGACAAAATTTTTCACACTATTAATATCTTTTCTCTGTTAAATTCTTATAGCTTGTATTTATCTTTGTAATTTCAGTGCCCACCATGTCGCCATTTTACACCAGAGTTGATAAAAACATATGAGAAATTAAAAGAAGAAGGAAAAAGTTTTGAAGTTATATTTATATCATCTGATCGAAGTTCAGAATCTTTTTCCCAATATTACAGTTGTATGCCATGGTTTGCTGTTCCATTTGGTGACAACAGACTTCAACTGCTTACATCACAATATGGAGTAGATGGTTGGTATACATTAAAAAGATACATGCCTTGATTATTGATAATTGTTGTCATACTCAAAAACTACACATCAGGTTGATTTTATTTATCAAAAAGTGTATTTATAATTTCTTTCCATTCAACATACAGGGGATGGCCCAATGGTTAGCATGTGCGAGCTGTATCATAAGGTCTGTCATTGAGTCAACTGGCGTGGATTCGATTCCCCGGTTGTATGGGACAAGAAGTAGGGTCGCCTGTCTAACCTCGTGGGTTTTCTCCGGGTCCTCCATTTTGTTCCCACTGCTAAAGACCCCTATTGAATTATTGAAATAAAATTGAACCATGTGTTAGTCTCGAAATGACCTAGTTTGTGTCGGGTGGACATTAAACCCCATTTTTCTCTCTCTCTCTCTCCATCCAACTTACTAATAATCCTCACAAATTTTGCGCCTCAAAGAGTTAACTCTGTTTGTTGGACAAGATGGGAAGAAAGTATGAAATGATTTCAAGTTTTGATTAGTAACGATTGTCGGGTTTGTAGCTTCAGAGTACGAGAGAGAGAGAGAAATGAGGTTTAACGTCCACTCAACACAAACTAGGTCATTTTGGGACTAAGGTATGGTTTACTTTATTTTAATAATTCGCTTGCGCGTAGGGGTCTTTAGCAGTGGGAGGAAACCGGAGAAAACCGACGAGCCTTCTCCTTGTCACATACAACCGGGGAATCGAAACTATGCCAGTTGACTCAATGACAGACTTTAAGATACAGCACACACACGCTAACCATCTTAGAGTACGAGCACAGTGATTTGTAATATGAATGGCAGTTTTAAAGATACCTTCTCGCATACAAACTCAGTGATTTGATGATATATTTTGACTAAAAACATATTCAAACTAATTAATCTATCAAAATTTTGCTTCAAATCCCTCTCAAAACATTGTAATTGTGAGGGAATACACCTGCTATAAAAATCTATTAAAAGAGGTCATGTTTGTGTCATGTGACTTGGCTGACATGATACCTAGCAACGGATGCGAAGCCGGAGGAGAGTTCATTGCATATACAAGACGATGTTGTCTTTGATCGCTATTTATTTATCATAAATATTGAAGCCTTATTAAATTCTCGGATTATCCAATGCCTACGTCTTTTTCCATGGTTTTTATCTCAGAAACTGTTGTACGCTTAAGCTCACCATCAAGTTTATCAACATAAATATCAAGCACTCACTATTATAATTATGTTCCGTATCTGTTGTGCAATAATCACGATATTTATTCTATGTACCTGTGTTGGCTATAGCAAGTGATTTGCTTTGCTTTGTAATATAGTATATAAGTATAAATTATTTCTGCAGGTATACCAACTCTAGTGATGATAGATGAAAAGGGTTCTATAATAACCATTAATGGTAGAACATCTATATTATTAGATAGAAACTGTAGTGTAAGTTTACTATTTCCGGTATGATATTAACTAATGTATGCGGCAAGATAAGGGTCAATTTCATAGAAGTTAATTATATTGGAGGCAGACCACCATTAATTTCCCCCATTTCATTCCTAGTATCGTTTCCCACAGGCACTTGTAACATGGAAAATATTTTAAAAAATAACATCAAGCTATGATTAAGGATATGTCTAAAGTCCTTTACGACCATGTTCGTATCTACTGAAAGAGAATTGTTTTCAGACAAGTTATTTGCCCCTGAGTTAGAAATCGGAATCAGACCAGTTATTTGATAATCTCGCTTACGAACATGGACATAATTAACAGACTTTAGACATATACTTAGTCATAGCTTGATGTTATTTTCGAAATATTTTCCACGTTACAGGCGCCACAGTCAGAGCAACAACTGTCCCTGTTATTGCTTCAGAATTTCTATGACGTTGACCATTGAAATTTTGAGAAACACAGACTTAAGTAGTATACTATAAACATGTAAATATCTGCCATATATAACCATAACCAACCTCATAACTCTTGTTTTCCTTCCGCTTGTAAACCATGAATATTTACCAAAACCTGGTAGAAAATATCATTTCAAACCCTCAACAAAAATGGCCAGGGATAGAGATAGAGAGATGGAGAGAGGAGCCACATTCATGGTTCCTAGATGGTTGAATTTAATTGTGGTCTATCTGAACTGAATTGTCTCCCATACTTGATTAAATAAGAAATGTGTTTTAGTGTCAAAAAGGAGTTGTTAATGATATCCAACAGATTTGTATAAAATTTTGGGATTTTGGGTGGGGATGGCTCTGGCATAGTAAGATATTATACCCTATTTCATTTTATTTCATTTCTTGTATCTACCGTAATACATTAAGTTTATTCCGCCATTTCGTTTAGATGATCATCACATGGATGAACATGTATTAGAGCAATCTGGATAAGCAATCAATTCTATATCATAACTTACACACAGATGCACTCTTCTGATATTTATGATAAGACCAGATAAGAGAATGTCACTTGTGCATTGATCTTAAAATATGCAAGACTAGGTACCTTATCATTCCATCTAATGGAGTATAATATGGTCTGTTGCAGGAGTTTCCATGGTATCCCAAACCTCTTGATGAACTTACCCAGAATGCGGCATTACAGTTAAATGAATCAGTGTGTTTGGTCCTATTTACTGGTGAGATGATATTTATTTTTATACAGAATAAAAATGTTTTAAATATTGAGCCAAAACAATTAAACCTATTTGTTTGCCTGATGTAATTAGTAATAAAATTATCCTTTATAAAATTAAATTGTCCAGTCTACAACAAATTTTATTTAATAATGCTCATGCCTGCAAAAGTTCTCCCTCACATCAATCACGGCCATGGGCGTCGCACATGGGGGAGGGGGGGGGGGGGGTTGTCCGACCCCCCCCCCAATTGTTTTTCGGGGGGGGGGGGGGGGTGAATATACTTGGACCCCCCCAAAATTTACATAGTAGGCCCAAACTCCTATTTATTTACAACAATTATTAGGATTAGTCAAGATTTTATCTGTATAAAACCTGTACATATCCCAATATGGTTTATGCTGCTAAAATAAAACACAGAGATAATCATCCTGGAAACATGTGTGAAGTGAAAAGTACCTGTGTTCCATAAAATTGTGTCTAGTTAGCCTGTCAGTAATATTTTGTTAATTTTTTTCTGCCACTTATCAGAGTGGATCGCATGTAGGTACCCAAAAACATAACCGCCTAAACCAAATATTTATCGCCCGCTCAGCCAACAACGTAACCATAATGGTTTTGCACGCGGTGTCCTGGTAGACAGCATGGCCACATGGTGTTTGTTTATATTTTTGGGGGGTTTTAAAAAATGGGTTAGGGTTAGAGGTTAGGGTTGCATACCCCCCCCCCCCCCCAATATATATTTCACGGCTACGCCTCTGATCACAACATGGACCATACTAGATTACATGTAAGGTTCATGATCACAGCCCATACACAAGGACAGTTTCAAATTGTGTAAAGGAGGGTTATGATATTACACATTCCACAAAGTGTTGATATTACACAAAGTAAACTACATGTAATATATTTTGTCTGTAGATAGTATTTTTTTACCAGTAGTTTAATGTAATAAATCAATTTATTATATGAACAGAAGGTGAAGATGATGAAATAGAACGAGCTAAAGAATTATTATTAGAATCTGCTACAAAAGAACATCAGAAGGGTGAAGATCAAGAACTCTTTTTTTTCTATGGTGGAGATGTAAGTTAAATTAATAAAGATTCCATTTGTATAGAAGCAGAGATTTGTTATTTTAATTTAAATGTGAAAATAATATATTTCTGCACCAACATTTGTCTAATATTTTTTTGTGCTCCATGTGCATCCTTGGATCCTTGGTTCAAATAGGAATGCTGTCCAGTAATTATACAAAGAACAAAAAATACAGGAACAGGCAGCACATAGTTTTTTTTAAAAAAATGAGTGTACAACACCAAATGTCAAAAAGGCAATACAAGTACACAAAACAAACTTTAAAAAAATGCAAATGTCAATGTGAACAAAGCTGTTAGGTACAAGAATCCTCTCATAAATGAGGCCAGTGCTATCAGTAATCAGACGTTCCATAAAAAGTAAGCATATCCTGCCGCTTGTGAGTCAGCCATCACAACTTCTAGACCAGAGTTTATATTTTTCAAAAGAATTGCAAATGCATGGTATCCATAAATGTAGGCTGTGTAAGCATGCATGTATTAAGCAGCAGGAGGGGGCTGATTTTCTGGCCAAATTAAACCAATTTTAAAACAGTAGATTTTTCAGCAAATGTAGGATAATAGAGCAATGTTCATTGATAAATACAGGCAAATTTTCAGAGCCCTCCCAAACATAAACGATCCAGTATGCGTAGGCATGTCGGTACATGTATATAAGGATAGTTAACTTTTATTTGCAGACAGAGAATCATGTGTATTGGGCAAGTAAAGTTGTTATTTTATTATTTTCGTTTCAGGATGAGTTCTGTGATCAGGTTCGAGATTTTACAAATCTGGATGATCAAAACCCGTTATTAGCCATTCTTGATCTTCCAGACCAACAGGTTTATGTTTGTCCGGAGAAAGATATAACAAAAGACATTGTAAATAATTTTACTGAGAATTATCACAATAATAAACTTACTCCGCGTCCATTCAAAGCGTCTAAAACAGTGTGAAGTATATGGTAGTTATTAGTGACGTTAATGTGTAGTGTTATTTATTAATGATGGCTGTTCTGTACAGAGTAATTGGACAGAAATTTAATGAACGGAAAGGAGTATCCTTGATCATGATATATGTATATGTTAAATCGTATTGGGATATATGAATGATGTAAAAGATGTTAAAACATCCTTTAATTTGTTTGTTACTTTCCTACATGTACATTGATGTGTAGCTATGATCCGTCTGCAAGTAATTTCAGTAGAACTTAAATCTATATTCAATTTTAAATTGAAATTGGTTGCTTTTAAATGATTGTTAGTTTAATGTACACGAGTATGATGTTTCAAGCAAGAGTGTACATTTTTGTTTTTATGTACAATATATTTGTGATTATTGTTTTTTGTTAGTGGTAATAATATTCATGTATTTTGTAATTATTTTAACCCAACAATTACATGATTCAAATAGATTCTCAATTTTCAGATTGTCTGGTGTTAAAAGTATGATAACATGCATCAAGACCTCTTTTCTGGAACAAAAAGATAAAATTATATCTCAAAGAATTTAATAGAATATTTCATTTGTTCTTTTATGAATAATTAATTTGTAATAGGGGTCAGAAATTTAAAAATGGTTTTGAAATAAAGAATTTTCAGTGGCATTTAATACATTTTGAAAAAATAATTTTTTAAGGATCTGGAAAGTTTGTTTGCCTTAAAAATGATATTTTAGCATATCATTAATCTGTTCATTTACTGAAAAGAAAAGTGTAGCCTTATATTTAAGTGTACTGTAAAATGGGTAGCCTAGTCTAAAAGATTATGTTTTCCAATTTAAAATCTTAAATTCCTTTATTATAGTCATGCTTTTTCCACCTATTATATTGCATGAAAAGAAAACTACTCTATTTTCCACATATATCTTGTTTTTAAAAACATTCTAACTTAGTACTGAAAAGTTTGGATGTTCAGCCTAAACTATAAAATGTGAAGAATTGTCAATAACTTTCCAGCGATAAATAATAGTACTAATATTAACAAAAAATATATAATCGTACTGTTTGATATTGATTATACAATACATGTAGATATAACGATAATGTGTTTTATTTTTCATGTCTTTACATGATTTAAGTATGGATTATTTGTATTAAAATTAATTAAAACCGGATTTATTAAAAGAATTATGTGTTTAATTTATGACAGTCACTAGCTAGACCCATCATAATTTAAAAGGGTACGATAATAAACATAGTCTCGATTATCCATTTCATGATTAAATCAAGAATGGAAGTCGAACAGCAAATCGGAACCTAATCCAATAAACATCGCAGGCTAGCGATGACATCGTGAGTTGATTATGGTCTGGATAAGTTAATTAATGTCTAATTAATAATTTCGATAACATTTCAGGCCTAAAGAAAAGACCTGCAATAGGCAGATTTAGTTCTTGCATGATGTATTTAACCATACTCAGCCTTAAAGCTGAACTCTGATTACAAAACTAAAGAAATAATTAAATAAAAAAAAGTTAACGCCCTAAACAATTGCCATACTTGTTTTCAATTTGTAGAACAAACATGGCGATTGTATCGGGGTACAAAAACAGATGGCCATGTCCACATCCAGTACCTTGTCAAGCACATTGCCCTAAACAATTGCCATACTTGTTTTCAATTTGTAGAACAAACATGGCGATTGTATCGACGTACAAAAACAGAAGAAGGCCATGCCCACATCCAGTACATTGTCAAGCACATTGTCCACATCCGGCTAGCAATATTTCAACTACTAATTACCTCCTGACTGACGATATTTCACTATCAACTTACTGAAAATAGTATTGCTACACAATTATTAGGATCAGGTACATATTATTTTACTAATAAGATGAAATAAGTCAACCACGATGTACGTTTGCTCTAGAAATATGAGTTACTGCCCTATTCCAAACAATAACAAATCTACCAACCACGAAACGATTCTATATGTTCTATAAATTTGATTCTAAAACTATCCGCGACTGAATTAGAATATTTAAAGATACATTATGGGAGATAGATAAAGAGATGGCAGTTCTCGCTATAATAGTTAAAAACTAGATAGTGTAAAGGTAATTTGCTGAATATTTCAGTCAAATTGATAAACTATGAACCGAGAAGGAAGCGGGTGAATTTTTGTATAGTCTCGGTCATCATTACTAAAATCATTAATATAAACAGCATAGTCTCGATTATCCACTTTTATTGATTTAATTATCAATAGCCGTTAGCGGCATATAGGAATCTAATCCAGCCAACATCGAAGGCTAGCCTTGACATCGAGCGCCAAAATTCAATTCATCCACATAGGCTAATAATATGTAAAGTTCATCTCAAATGGACAAAATGGTGGCCTATAGAGGGCCCACTAGTGTAAGTGTTTCATGCTTTGCCACTGTGTGCATAAAAAAGTGAAGGGCAATTTTAACGGGAAGTTAAAGTCTGATTTTCGCCAAATTCGAACTCATCCACAAATGTTATATTTATATACTAAGCAGCAAAAGAAACGTCAGGTTGGTATGTTACTCTGATTAGACGCATTGCATAAAACTTGCTAAATGTTTTATTGTATATTTGTGACCACATCTCCAACTTTACCTGAGCGACAAGACTCCCTTCCAAACACAGAATTGAACCCAGGAAATGTTCTCAAAAATGCAACCTGACTTCTGAGATGGTAATGTGTTTTCCATGATTTTCCTGTAACTCATGCTGCACGTACTGTTCAATGGGGACCAGCCCTATAAAATGCACCCCCATACCTGGTTGAATCATTCACGTCAGCAGCATGCCACAACTCACGCAAGCTCAGAGGAACCAGGCGCTTGGAAGACTCGATACTGGTGGCCACACTGCCCAAGCTGTTGCCAATCATTTCCAGGTCAATGTTCGGACCATCTAGAGGGGTTTGATGGCCGAATGGTTAGCACGTGCGTGCTGTGCTGTATCATACGGTCTGTCATTGAGTCAACTGGCGGGGTTTCGATTCCCCGGTTGTACGTGACAAGGAGTATCGTCGCCTGTCGAACCTCGTGGGTTTTCTCCGGGTGCTCCGGTTTCCTCCCACTGCTAAAGACCCCTACGCGCATGCGAATTATTGAAATAAAATTGAACCATGTTACTTCCGAAATGACCTAGTTTGTGTCGAGTGGACGTTAAACCCCGGACCATCTACAGGCTTCAGCAACGCTTTCAGGCTACCAACACCACGGATGATCGCCCCCAAACTGGTAGACCATGGGTTACCACAAGGCGACAAGACCGCCATGTTGTGCGACAGCACGCGCAGTATCCCTTCACACAGTCATCTGAGACAGCACGTCAGACGGTGGGAACACACGGAAGAATCATCAGTACGGTACCGATACAGTGCGCCGACGTCTCACCAGAGAGAACATCCATTGCCGTGGACCAATCCTCACCCATCGCCATCGACGTGAAAGTCTACAGTTTGCCCAACAACACCAGAACTGGCGACACAGGCAATGGAGAACTGTTTTGTTGACAGTCGAGAGTCGGTATTATGTATCAACTGCAGATGGCAGGACCATAATATGGCGTTGTCGTCGCCGGCGTTATTCTGACCAATGTGTCATGGAACCAGACTCATGGGGAGGTCCAAGCATAATTGTTTTGGGTGGAATCGGCTTGGGCCAGAGAGTGGGTCGTGTGGCGTTCCAAATTTTGGTCCAGGGAGAGGAGGCGGCATCACAGCAGTGCGCTACATCGATCAAATGAAATGGGGTTTAACGTCCTACTGTTTTGCTCCGAACTGGGCTAATGAAGACGGACATACGGCATACAGTGTGCTATATGAGGGAACTTTTGCCTGGACATCGGCACTATATAACGGCCTACTCTTACATCGAATTCCAACTGTCAAGGGAAATTTTGCCAGGACAGCACCACTACGGCCTACTCTTACCAACTCTTACCAGCTCTTACATCGAATTCCAACTGTCAAGGGATCTTTTACGTGCACGCCAATGTGTACACGGGAACTCGGTTTTTCGTCCCATCCGAACGTCTTGATATAGCTGTCCTTGTCAGGCCCCCCGTCCTGCATCAATGACAAGGGGGAACCAGGCCGTAAAATCTGGATGAAATTTCTCGGCAAATGCAGTGATCGAACACCCGATCTCCAGGGTAGCGGGCCAGCGTCTTACCCACAACCACCGTGACCCCAAGGATACCGAGGATGAGTCAAGTAGTGATTGGTGTTCTCCGACCACTGTGGAGAATTTTCTTGATATTTAGGTCGGTTTTTTTTTCAATAATGCTTCCTTAAAGTTTCCTGTCAAAATCGTGCAGTTCATCTGATTTTATTGCATATCAGTAAAACTAAAACGTAACGTAGTATGTAGGCTACATGCATAGTAGTCTATGTTTTTAATTTTTTATGTAAAATCCCAGTTTTTGTGTTTTCTCAAATTGACCTACTTATCCCAGATATACGCCAAAATGACAATAAAAAATAGATAGACGCCATTTATTTCTAAAAAAAATATTTCAAGGCAGGGGGGAGACAACCCACCCGGACCACCTAGCTAGCAAACCCCCTCCTCCGAGATATTATGTATGAAAGTAATCGTCATTGAAAGTAACTCGGCAAACCTCGGCAGATTCCATGAGGTACTGGAATCTGCTGAGGTTTGCCGAGTGTATCAAAGACAGAAGAATAAAACGAGGCTTTTGGTAAAGGGGAGGCAACTCTTATTTCGGAGCACAAGTCAAATCGAGCAGACATGCAAAGCCAAAGGCATCAAAGAAAGGTTTTTTTTCACTTCATCATAACGAGTGGCCGGAAACAGTTTGGAAAATTTAATAGGTCTACTAGCAAAGGGTTTTTTCGTGGGATACAATCGAGAACTGTAGGCCTTGCTGGGCCCCTTAAACTTGAATCATAACAGGTCTCACAAATCTTTATGAGTATTAATATAATGATGACAACTTTACGTCTGCTGAGTCTGACAGGAGACCAGACTAGATTAGACTAGATACAGTTGTCACGTACTACCTACCGTAGGCTACTGATGATGTTCGATGTTGTAGCCTATTTGTAAGACCTGTTATCTAGTCTCCCACAAAGCCGCATGCCTATATAGTCAAGAGTCAAAATAATTATGATCTTTATTGTTGATCAAAATGGAAAATGTTAGAAATTAAAAAGCGGCAAAGCGACGCACGACTACAAGCCTATAATATAAGCCTATAATATAAGTATAGAGTAAAATGGTCGTCATAAAAAGACAAGGCCTAGCTATTTGACATATATGCTCTAAACACAGTAGAGTAGGTCTACGATACCGTACAGCCCTATCTATGTTTATGTCACTGTTAGTGTTACGGCGTCGCGATTTGGCACGTTACCATTAAATACTGATAATAAACACTTGTTTTTTTTTATAAAAGAAAAGCACACTAAAGAAATAGACTTAATCATTATTGGCCGGCTGTTATAAAATAGGTATGAAAATAGGGAAACAAAGAGACATGAACGTTGTGGTTTCACCGGCGTCTCATCCACAAGGAATGAACCAGGTCAAACCGAGAAACTAGCCCACAGCTTATAAGGACTCTTTGTCAAGTCTCTAATTAAGTACCGGTACTGGTAGTAAGACTCATGAGTACTCATAACGCCGCCAGCGTACCCAGCCTCCAGGTATTATTATAGCCTAGTCACGAAATAGCCAAATTAAACACTAGATTTCTACCCTATATCTTTTTTTGTCAAGCCCCAACAAAACCGAAGCCGTTATAATATACACCTGCCGAAACAAGTGTGGGGATCTGTTTGGAAAAGTTCTCTGTGATTATCATCGGCTTACATTGACACGATTTTAACCCGTTCGTGACTAGTTACTAATCCAAAACAATCCATTTAAATCCATTTATATTATAATACTGGTTTGTCTTCTCTGCTGTTAGTGCTAATGTAATCAACATTAAAAATGGAACAAGACTAAGTATGATTAGATTGTACCCAACGACTACTTACTCTTCCAGCTAATTAAAATATGCTATGTAACTGTTAATATTTCAGATTTTAAAGTCCAAGCTGTGTTTTCATCTTGCTGATAAAACAAGAGAACGATCGTTATGCAGGTATTCAGGTTCTAATTCTATCTTTTATGATGCAAACTCAATCATAGATCTTTCAATTCCCGGACGTTAAACCCCTTTTCTAGAATTGTAATACATTGTAAGCCAACGTTTATCAGATGCTACATTTAAATTATTTTTTTATATATAGAACCTAGCGCCAGCACCCATATTTAATCAAAGAAAGAGGCAGAGACAGGCAATATTTGCAGATATCAACCCGGGACAACCTGCCACCAATCCTTGTAACACCACATCGTCTAAAACAAGTAAGAAAGGGCCAATTAGACTTACCAAACAATGGTATTTTACATAATACTTTTAAGGAATAAGCTTACTGTAGGCTTATATTTCTAATGTCAAACAGAAAATAACCCCCAAATTTTAATGGACTTTAATTGTATGTTAACCGTTAGAACAATAAAATCCTGTATTTTATAGAAGTTTCTAATTAGATCATGTCTTTAAATTATGAGGGAAATTATGGAAATACTCATCTCATGATACTGCAAAAATTTGATCTAGATGAACGGAGCATCAATCAAATCATCGGCGTAACTTTCTTCAATGAATGGTGCCACGATTTGAGCTACGATTGGACCCCGACTGTTATATATACAGCCCGACTGACCAGGGTCTTCACTGTTTCCTGAACTTCTACAGAGATCGCATTGCATCTTAATGGCCCCGTCAGACCAGGGTGGCGTCCTTACTGCGCTGCTGCGACCGTACAGCGACCAGAAAATGCACAAGGTTGCCGTGAACACAACGCAAGAAAATGTCCCAAAAAATTACAAACTTGAAAAAAGTCACGTTCTTACAGCTGTATAGGTTAGATCGCAGAACCTTGGCGTTTGTTTTGACTCGGCGATTATTGGCGACCATGGAGACCACGGTACAATATCTGGCGTTTCCACAACGCTCTGCGACCATTTTCCGTCGCCGAAGCGTCGCAGTAGGGGCGCCACTCGGTCTGACGGGGGGATTACAGAGCGTGGTGCTTTTCTTGTCCAAGGCTGATCCCGATCACCACGATTTGGAAGCCCGATTATATGCGATCTGTTGCGCTTTGTTAAGATCCAATACGATGTGCTCGATTGACAATTAATCTTGTTGAAGGTAGAAAAATTTTGAACCGTCCAGAACTTTTTTTTACTATTAACACAATTGCTACGACTGACCTCAAGACATGATAAGACCTGATACGATTACCACGATTATCCCACGATTGAAACTACGATTTCAATGTAGCGTGAATCCTGATAGTGCGAGTACCTAGCATTAGCAACTACTTGCCCTAGATATAGTGTCTCGCCTTCTCTCGCAATACATAATCAGCAAATGCAACAATTTTATCTAGATCTCGACGGTAAAACCCACCACTTGCACAAAAGGTACAGTCCTTAACGCGGTATGATAAAGAATAAAGTAAATATTACTTATATACGTAAGGTCTGTATACAGACTAAATCATACCATAATAAATACCCATACAAATATTTGACACCATTGTCCCACATTGGCAAGTTATATATTTCAGGTTTGATGCCCGTTGGTGGATATTCGGGTGTAAGAGGTGGTGGCTCCAGTTCTTCAAGAGGTGGACTAAACAAATCTAACAGAGGGCACTTTACGACTGGCAAAAATTATAACCAGACAGAAAATTCAACTAGTTTTAATCAACCGAGCAGTATATGTGACGGTTTCAATCAAACACTATATGTTAAAAGTGAAAAGTTTAACAAATCACAACAAATTCAAAGCCAACAGGGTCATTTCAATCAGTTTAAAAATGGAAACAGCAATGTCTGTAATAGAAGTATTCAAGGCAACGGTAACCAACCAAACAGCGTTAATATCAATCAATCAAGTAATAACAGCAGAGACGGTTTCTACCAAACACAAAGTAACACCAGAGGAGGCTTTAAACAGTCAAGCATTACACATAATAACAGAGGCGACTTCAATCAAGTTAACAATAATTTCAACAGGGCAAACTTTAACAGTAACCCGGGAAGCAACGTCTTCCACCCAATTAGTTCTAATAATAGAGGAAACATTATCCAATCAAACAGCAGTGGATTAGGAAGCGGAGATGAATTTAAGCAATCATGTTTTGGGTCCAATTTCGGAAACAGTTACGAATATAGTGACTTTTATTCTCCTTCACGTGACAAATACAAGAAAACAGGTAGGCAATGGGGTACGGAACAGGAGTTTTAAAATGTTGAATACATACACCATTTACTCAGTATTATTCCTTCTCGTCAGGCGCCACTATAATGACAACCTATTGGTTTGTGAAACATTTCTTGAAACCAAATACACCCAATTCCCTAACCGCTCTGATTTACCTTTTAATTTATCACATTTGATGAATAATTGGTAGATATATTGTTTCATAAATGATAAACCAAAACCCTTTCTATTTATTGATCTAGTAATTTTCTCTTTTTTATTAGAGGTTATTTCCAATCAAGCAATAAATCAGTATCAACAGAATAACCGTTTTGGTAATTTCCATGGAAATCAAGGCGTCACTAAAGTGAACAACTTTGATGGCAGGTAGGATTGCATGAATATATTAAAATTATGTTCCATTTTTAAAGTAGTTAAAATGTCAAAATATTACCATTCCGTAAACTTCGTGATTAAAATTAGATAACTCAACATCAACAAAGGGGCGCCAAACAAAGGTATCAATTGGTTCCACGGAAACGACTGTGATAATGACATATAAATATCGATTGTCTGAATTATAGGTAAGATGAACTATTTTGTTTTATAGATTCCAAAAGGCACCCGATTTTGGTCACCAGAATACGCCATCACGCGGTAAAACACTCTCGTCGTCAGGAAATATATACAGTACTGGTAGTGGTCCTAACCCATTAAATTGGGGAACCCAGGTAGTTAAACAACCTCAAACATCTATGTTTGATAACAGTAGCCAGTAAGTAGAAGTAGATATGTATATATAATTATACATATTGCTTTCTATTTTCTCCTTCTATTACATTGTTATACAGCAATTTTTTTTATCGATTTTCGACGAAATCTAAAATAATTATAGGCCCGTTCACATTTGTTTGTGGATACGGATAGGTTTCGATTTTGCCACATAACGAACCGCAACTGCCTTGATTATTCACCCATATTGTACGAAAAATCGCGTTTTTAGCTTGTGATATCCATCTCTTGCAAACTGTGCTCGTATCTTGCACGGCAACCACTTGTTAACAGATATTTTCAAATTTGGTTTGACGCATTGGGGTCATGATGACGCACGCTATCAATAATCAGACTTCCTAGAAGAGCTTAGAAACAAACACACCTTAGTCGAAAACTTTGTGAATGCGATAGACCGGTTACAATTTTAACAGATCTTTTTAAAATTTGGTGTGAAGCATTTGGTTCATGAAATGACGAACCCTATCGATATTCAGCCTTACGCAACCTTCTGTTCCGGAGTTACCCCCGTTTGCCGGACATCTTCTCAACGGGATAGAGGCTACAGTTTTTAACATTTATTTTCAAATTCGATATGAAGCATTGGGGCAGCGAGAGGATAAGGCCTATTGATTTTCCTAGTTCTCCGTCAGTCACTATATATATTTGGTTTTTATGTAACTTGTTTAGAATGTTTTTTAACTACCCGGACTGGTCATTTTTATACGTCCACATTCATAATGTGAACGTATTATGCCGTCGCCCCTGTCTGTGTGTGTGTGTGTGTGTATGTATGTATGTGTGTGTGTGTGTGTGTGTGTGTGTGTGTGTCTGTGGTTCGCCTACAGGGCGCAATTCTTCATGGATTTTCTTCAAACTTGGTATACTTATTCCTTATACCCCAAGGAAGATCCCTATTGTTTTTGGTGCATGCCCGACCCCCCGGGGCAGAGCCACGCCCATTTCTAGTATTTGTTTGTTTGTCGTCTACAGGCCACATTTCTTAACTAATAATCTTGAAACTTTGCATACACATTCTTTGTACCCTAAGGAACATCCCTATCGTTTGGGGTGCATGCCCAACCCCCAGGGGCAGAGCCACGCCCATTTTCTTTTCGTGTGTCTTTGTGTCGCCTACAGGGCGCAATTCTTACTGGATTTTCTTCAAACTTGGTATACTTATTCCTTATACCCCAAGGAAGATCCCTATTGTTTTTGGTGCATGCCCGACCCCCAGGGGCAGAGCCACGCCCATTTCTAGTATTTGTTTGTTTGTCGTCTACAGGCCACATTTCTTAACTTATAATCTTGCATACACATTCTTTGTACCCTAAGGAACATCCCTATCGTTTGGGGTACATGCCCAACCCCCAGGGGCAGAGCCACGCCCATTTTCTTTTTGTGTGTCTGTGTGTCGCCTACAGGCCACAATTCTTAAGTTATCATCTTGAATCTTTACATACTTATTCCTTATACCCTAAGGATGATCCCTATTGTTTTTGGTGCATGCCCGATCCCCAGGGGCAGAGCCACGCCCATTTCTTGTATTTGTTTGTTTGTCGTCTACAGGCCGCATTTCTTAACGCATCATATTGAAACTTTGCATACTTATTCTTTGTACCCTAAGGAACACCCCTATCGTTTGGGGTGCATGCCCAACCCCCAGGGGCAGAGCCAAGCCCATTTTCTTTTTGTGTGTCTGTCGCCTACAGGCCACAATTCTTAATCGATCGTCTTGAAAAAATTTCATATGAATTCCTTATACCCTAAGGATGATCCTATTGTTTTTGGTGCATGCCCGACCCCCAGTGGCAGAGCCACGCCCATTTCTTGTATTCATTGTTTGTTATCTACAGACCACATTTCATAACGTATCACCTTGAAACTTTGCATGCATACTCCTTCTATCCTAAGGAACATCCCTATTGTTTGTGGTGAATGCCCAGGGACAGAGCCACACCCATTTTCTTTTTGTGTGTCTGTATGTCACTTACAGCCTGCAATGCTTAATCGATCATCTTGAAAACTTTTTTATACTTATACGTTATACCCTAAGGCTGACCTCTATTTTTTTGGTGATTGCCCAACCCCCAGGGGCAGAGCCACACCCATTTTTTCTTTGTGTCTCTGTGAGTTGCCTACAGGCCACGATTCTTAATGGATTTCTTTGAACTTGGGATATGTTTTCCTTATAGCCTAAGGACGACAACTGCATGTCACGACCCCCAGGGGCAGAGCCATGCCCAATTTTTATGTTTATCGTTTACAGGCCCAAATTCTGGATGGATCAACTTGGTATTTGGCATATGTATTCCTTATAGCCTAAGGGCATCAACTATTGATTTTGGTGAATGCCCCAATGCCCAGGGGCAGAGCAACGCCCAATTTTCCCTTTAACGCCCAAAGGCCACAATTCTGAATGGATTATCTTGGAACTTGGAGTACTTATTCCTTATACCCTAAGGACGGCAACTATTTATATTGTTTCCATATCCAACCCCCATGGGCAGAGCCATGCCCAATTTTTGTATTTATCGTCTACAGGCTGCAATTCTGAATGGATCATCTTGGAACTTTGCATATTTATTCCTTATACCATAAAGACAGCAACTATTTATTTTGATACTTGCCCCGACCTCTTGGGGCAGTGTCACACCCACTTTATTGTTAGTATTTTGTCTGTAAATTTGGGGTGGCTGGGTGGTTAAGACGCTGGCTCGCTAGCCTGGAGGTCGGGTGTTCGATCCCTGCATTGGCCGAGAAAGTTCATCTGGATTTTCCGACGTGGTTTCCCCTTGTCAGTGGTGCAGAACGGAGGGCCTGACAAGGACAGCTGTCCAGTCCTTCGGATGAGACGAAAAACCGAGGTCCCGTGTATACATTAGAATGCACGTAAAAGATCCCTTGGCAGTTGGAATTCGATATAAGAGTAGGCGATAGTGCCGCTGCCCGGGCAAAATTTCCCTCATAGCACACTGTATGGCGTATGCCCGTCTTCATTAGCCCAGTATAGGAGCAGAACAGTAGGACGTTAAACCCCATTTCATTTCATTTCTGTAAATTTGGCAAAACAAACCAGACGCCTAGCCTTCTTTGCCTCTGATCATATTACAGCCATTTCATATTTCATTCTCTTCATTTTAAAAAGTACCATATCAATCAAAGCTGGAATGTGGACGTATATTGCAGCGTTAGCGATGCTCTTGTTAGTATAAGTAATGTAGGGCGCTAAACCGCGATATGGGTACTGATCATGATGTTGTTTACTTTTCAGGTATCAGTCGACAACACAGAATTATGGGTATTATCCGATGTCATTTAATCAGTCACTTGTAAGTATGTAATATATGATCTCTTGCGTCTCTGGATTAAAAAAATGTTTATAAATATGCATTGCTTCACAATCCTGATTTATTTTCATTGTATGATTTCCAGATATTTCTGAAATGAGACGGAATCAATCATTTCAGGACAAGTCAGATCTTAACTGGAGTTATCCCCCTTATAAGCCTATCAAACACGAAAGGGACACTCCGTTGAACGTTCCGGAATTAGATTCTCTCAATTTCCAAATTAGTGTCAATCGAGTGAAAGGGAGAATTTCGGAGTACAACGCATGTGCCGACTACATAAAACACATCTCAACCAATCATGGCGGCTGAAACATATTTGTTAGGCTAATTTATAAACAATTCATATTTATTCAGAATTACGTTTGTGGCACTGCCAATAAATGTCCACTATAATGGTTGAAAACTAGATAATGTAAAGGGTATATGCTGAAAATTTCAGTGAAATTGCTCCACTCTGAACCGAGATATTAGCAATTGAATTTTAGGCCTAGCTCCGATCATCATTACTAAAGTCGGTACGATAAAAAAAACATAGTCTCGATTATCCAATTTTGGATTGAATCATCAATGAGCGTTGAGCAGCAGATTGGATTCATATCCAGTGAAAATCCTACACATAAGATGGCATCAAGAGTTGATTTAGGTCTTTTCATGTTAATAAATGTCAAATTAATAGTTTATATAACATTTCATTCCTAAAGAAAGGCCTGCAAATAGGAAGATTTAGCTCTTGCATATTGTATGTTGAAGTGGAGGCCTTTTTTTTTCCTCATTATCACGTGATAGTTGAGTTTGTGAAGAAAACGGGCGATTCACAACCGAACCGTGGCATGTATACCGTCATATGCCGTCTCAAACATCGTGTGTACCGAACCGCGGTACGGATTTAAATAAAATGAAATGAAATGAAATGGGGTTTAACGTCCTACTGTTCTGCTCCTATACTGGGCTAATGAAGACGGGCATACGCCATACAGTGTGCTTTGAGGGAAATTTTGCCAGGACAGCAATACTACGGCCTACTCTTACATCGAATTCCAACTGTCAAGGGATCTTTTACGTGCATTCCAATATATACACGGGACCTCGGTTTTTCGTCTCATCCGAAGGACTAGACAGATGTCCTTGTCAGGCCCTCCGTTCTGCACCACTGACAAGGGGAAACCACGTCGGAAAATCCTGATGAACTTTCTCGGCCAATGCAGGGATCGAACACACGACCTCCAGGCTAGCGAGCCAGCGTCTTAACCAACTAGCCACCGTGGTCCCTATTTAAATTAAAGTACTGTGACCCGAACCATGACATGTATACCGAGGTTACCGTCTCACGCAGTCACGGTATATCGTTGCAGGAAATGAAATGAAATGGGGTTTAACATCCTACTGTTCTGCTCTGACTGGGCTAATGAGGACGGATAGTTTCAGTAGTGCTCCCATATAATATGTAATTCAAAATAATAAAAATGCGTTACTAAAGCTTAAAATAAGAAGTTAAAATAGAATAAAACTTCGGTATGTTGATATTAAAATAACCTTTATTTTTCTAAACCAAAATCCCAGAAAATTTCCAATAATACGGGCCTCTTTTTGTGGGCCCTGGGGTTAAATGTCACGATTTCAACCATGTCGAAAAATATTCCCGTATGCAGTGGCCCCTTCCATTGGTGCTTTAAGCACGTCCTTATTCTGGTTAATGGTTTATCCGGAACTGTAAATACGCCAGTTGTATTTGGTACAAGTAAATCTATTTCAAAAACTGTATTACATCCAAATAAAAATATATGCATCATAAATATGTCATATTTTCAAAAATTGCGCTTTTCATTTAGTGCAATGTATGATAATATTATTGACATAAATTGTTTGTAAACTTTATGTTTTCCATTTTGACTAAAGTTCAAATAATATGTTCATTACATAAAATGGCGTTTATAAGTCGATTTATATTAATTTAAGCCAAATCCAAATTAACATTACATCATTTCAAAATTAATCTGAATTTTTTATCGATCAGAATGGTAAATCTCTAAATACAAGTATAAATACACAAGAACAACCTAAACATAATGAGATCGACAAGAGTTTGAAATTAATCACAACTGATATTGAAGGCGTTAAACGATGGGGTCAAGTCAAAACCAATTTCATTTTATTGTTTGAAATATTTGGTAAGTATGAACTGATGAACTTTACAGTTTTTGCATGTTCTCTGTTTATCAACGAGAATTTAAGCGTACAAAAAATAGACAGAAAAAAAACCTCGTTAGGACGTATAAATGGACACGGGTACTCCATCACGCTCTTCTCGGATTCACTTTAAAAGTGACTTTTGATTTCAAACGAAGCTGATCGAGATAGTTAGTATTATAATGGTGTGATAATCTGATATCGCTAATATAATTAATGCTTCTTAAATTAACCACTTTAAGGTCAACTTCCTAGTAAGTCGTTAACCTGTCACCACTTTTCAAGCCGTCATTGGTAACGACGTTAATCCCATCTATTGTTTTTGTTGATTTATTATATTGTTTAATCTTTTATGCATTGTTCATCTATCGACATGTCAGTTTTAATTACATTTACTTTTATCTTTTTATATGATTTTACATTGAAGGCAGTCACTAGTTAGGATCCCTTACTAAGTGCAGTAACTGGCCTGTCATTACTGTATGACGATATATATGTATAGTTATGTTCCGGTATATTAAAGAATTGAAGAATCATTCGAAGTCTGTTATATCCGAAGAGAGAATTTACACCTCTAAAGTTGGCGGAGAAGTTTTGTGTGGCAAGACCCCAACCTCTCTACAAGTCATAGCTAGTATACCACGCCAGCCCCAAACGACAACTTCACAATGGAACAGGTTTTAATCCCTGAAAAATTGGCTGAGATTTTTAAAATCATGGACATTGAAACAGTGGCCAACCAATGGAGAATAGAAAGCAGAGGAAATAATTTTAGCGTTGTGCTAACATGGAGTGGTTTCTATTCTTCGGTGCCACAAAAGAGGAAATCAGCCAGTAAACTCAAGCGAGATTGGTACAGAAGTCAGAGTTACAAAGAAAAACAGCAGACTCAACTACCAAACGTAAGTACCATTACACATACAGAAGAAAAACTGACTGGAGAGCACCCTCTTCCTGATATCCCCACAAAGAAATCTAAGTCGAAGTTATGCCAGACAAAAGCAGTGCGTGTTTTTAACAAGACAACCCAAACAGTAGCTGTTACTGTTACCAAAGACCCGATTTCTCAAACAGAATCTTCGATGAACGATGGCATGTACGGCGAAGATATCGACATTTTTGGGTTGCCACATCTGAAACGCGACGACACCTTCGTGACGCTGATGGGGGAGCACAAGAGTATTATGCCAAACCTTAAAGTTCCAGTGGAACCTACACCCTTTGCTCGGATTGAAAACATTCTACGACAGCGATATTTGGGCAATCCGGATGACCATGAATACCTAATACAAACCGAACGAGGGACATACTGGGAATGTGCAAAAACTGTAAGACAACAATGTGGAGATTATAATCTAAGAGCCGTGCCCGTGGAAAGCTATAATAGTTATGAATGGGAATCTAACTGGAAATGGAGATCTAAATTTCCTGGCTGTAGACAGTACTATTAGTATTTGCTTCTTGAATTATACCACTGTTGCCCGTTTGTGTATTTTGTTAATCATTGATTAGGACTTCCAACTTAATGAAATCAATATTTAATGTCATCTTTTTATTTACCTGATTCCATGATTCAACAATGTAATGTATCATTTCGTTCATGTCGTGTATTAAGACGCAGGGACTCGTCTTTTCTAAAACAGAGGAAATTGTAATAGTGTGATAATCTTAGCTACAGTCAGTATTCGTGTTCGGCTCAAATTGTTTCTCTCTTGCTCGATTGTTTAACTTTACGAATTCAATATTTAATATTATTGTGTTTTTCATCATTCAACAAATAATATATCATTTCTTTTGTATCGTTAATTAAGACGCAGGGACGCGTCTTTTCTAAAACACAGGAAATTATAATGGTGTGATAATCTGATATCGCTAATATAATTAATGCTTCTTAAATTAACCACTTTAAGGTCAACTTCCTAGTAAGTCGTTAACCTGTTACCACTTTTCAAGCCGTCATTGGTAACGACGTTAATCCCATCTATTGTTTTTGTTGATTTATTATATTGTTTAATCTTTTATGCATTGTTCATCTATCGACATGTCAGTTTTAATTACATTTACTTTTATCTTTCTATATGATTTTCCTTAAATATTACAAAATTTGTACATTGAAGGCAGTCACTAGTTAGGATCCCTTACTAAGTGCAGTAACTGGCCTGTCAGTACTGTATGACGATATATGTATATTTATGTTCCGGTATATTAAAGAATTGAAGAATCTCTCGAAGTCTGTTATATCCGAAGAGAGAATTTACACCTCTAAAGTATACAGGAATCAGTTCGTCCGTCTGAAGATTTGCAGATTTACATACGTGATAAAGTCGTCGTGGGCTACACTGGGGGATCTTATTTTGTGTAATTGCAGCTCCCCAATTAAAATTACAAGATTTCAGATATATTTGGATGTGGTTTGTCTATTAATTATTTTTTAATTCTGCTGTCAGCCTTTCAATTGCATGTTGTTATTTGTTCGTCGCCCATTTGTTCTATTGTGGCTCCCATGGTACTCGCCTAGTGTCTAGTGTTTTATGTAATTTGCAAGTTCCGTAAGTTTATATAATTGTGAGGCATCCCCTAAAGGTGTTTCAAAGTATCAGATAAAATGATAACCTTGTTTAATTTATAATATAGGAATGGTTGACTCTGCTGTTTTGATGAATGCTCCAGGTACGGGGAAAGAGTTTATTCTCAATGATGGATCAGCATCTATACAGTGTCTCTTCTACGAAATAGTAAGATTTAAGGAATTGTTATGGGCAAGACTAGGCAGTTTTTATTGACAGCAATCAGTCGATAATTACGTTCGTTTCATTTTTTATGCTGTGGTTATGCCGTTGCCCCTGTCCACCCGAACGTCTATATAATTTGTCTGTAAACACTCTAGAGGTCACAATGTTTATACGCCCACATTTTCACGTGGACGATTTATGTAGTTGCCCATGTCCGTCCGTTCACTTGAGTTTGTGGTGTTTCGATTAACGTTTAAATATATGTTCATTAAACAATAATCACGGATGGGTTGGTAAAGTTAAAGATACATTATGTAAAAGCTAAATCTGCCGATTGCAGGTTTTATGTTTTAGCTTCAAATGCTATAAATTCTTATTTAGACATTCATTCACATACCAAGTCTATAAACAACTCTGTAGATTATCGGGATGGCGCAGATGTAAACGGACTGAAATACGATCGCCATTTAAAGATACATTATGTAAGAAGAGCTAGCGATTCTTGCTATAATAGTTCGAAAATAGATAATGTAAAATGAATAATTTGAAAATTTCATTCAAATTACTCTATTGCGAGCTAAGATATTAGCCTTTGAAAGTTTGACAAGACGTGTGCAATAATTTCAACCACCGTACTGGTTGTTCAAAGTCAAGTCTCGCTCCTCCATTTTTAGCTTAAATCAATATATGGCTGAACTGTTCTAATCTATTTAATATCGGAGAAATCCGATGGCATCGAGAGTTGATTATCGTCTGAATAAGTTAATCAATGTCTAATTTATAATTTAGAAAACATTTCAGGCCTAAAGAAAGACCTGCAATAGGCAGATTTAGCTCTTGCATAATGTATGTTTAATTTAAAAATAGAGAAACGAGGCTGAGTCTCGAGTAACAAGTAACATTGGTACGATAATAAACAATCTATGTCAAAACTTCAAACAGTGACATGTCGCTCAGAATAAAGTAATTACAAAGTAATTTGAATGAAAATTTCAATATATTAATTTTGAATTATCTATTATCTATTTGGAACTATTATTGCAAGAACGATCAGCTCTTTATCTAAATCTTAAATATCTTAACAGTCAGAAAAATGGCGTCTATAAAATGCAACTATATCCTGACAGTACGTCATTACAAGGTGGTTGGATTACTCCCTGTGATTTTTTTTCTCCAAAAATGGGATAACTGATTCCGTAAATTTAGCGTTATATTTTACATACGTGTATCCGACTGTCCTCTTTATTCACGAAATTACATCTTTGGATATATATAATGCTAAACGTGTTCAGTGTCAGTGGGACGAACGTCGAACAAGATGGCATCACGAATTGTAAAAATCATGTAGAAGAACATACTGTAATACACTGATCGCTAACCCACATTACATTAGTTCATAGCTTTTATTTTACCAAGTTTACTTAAGAATGTTGAAATAATTTTACACGGATAATACTGTTGTAAACATATGGCTCGCAGGTATATGGTAACAGTGTTAATAGCATCCCACTGTAATGCTATTCATATAACAGAAATATATTTAATTACAGATATCTCTATATAGATACCGCATGTATTAATCATGTTTGCTGGGTTTGCAATAAACATAAAACTATTTGTCAAGAGAATTGTGATGTTAAAGGAACAAGCCTCAGATAAATCGTACTAGTTATAGATATGCTTGAAATGTTTTGAAACCTTTATCTGAAATCTTTATCTTATGGATCTGGCTAAGGCTCTATTTCACATTAGGGGTCAACAGTAAATCCCCAAATTTCACCCCAAAGAAATGTCTGGACATTCATGTGTCTGCATACTTGCCCTTGTGATCATAGTTTTATTGACGAGGCAAATTGTAACACTTTGACTAGGGTCTGGTGAAATTAGTTTTGTTAATTAGTTTTGTTCAAACACAGGGTTGGGGCAACGACACCTTAATGGGCAAATTTATGTATTTTCAACTTTTTCTCCTAAACGACTTAAAGAATTTCAACCAATTTTGATAGTTATATTAATTGGGTGTGCTTGTCCGGATTTGCAAATTAACAGGAGAGGGACACCTTAAAGGGTAAAATTAGACACTGTTGAGTTCTTCTGCTAAAACCCATGGTGGTTTTTAGCTAAATTTAGAGCTTATATAGCCAATATTTAGATTTGCTTAGATGACGTTGCTTTGATTAATGAGCCCAAAACAGGGCCAGTTTGGTGGAGCTTATTTGACATTTTTTTTGGACTTATTAAATTTCAGCAAAGTTTTGATCAGATCATAATGTGCCGTTTTATGGTGTTTTTGAATATGTTTGATTGTCTCTTTTATAGTAATCCTTATCATATGCTCTCAAAGCGACATCTTCAGTGCCGTTAAAGGAGAATGCCATAGTAAAAGTTTAATTTTATCATTTACTAAGTTCACTGTGTAACGCATTTCAGAATTATTTAAAAAAAAAAAAAAAAAAAAAATAACGTTAAAACACTTTCTGAATTTCCCCAATTACGGGAACGCCAAATAGCGTGACACGTATGGAATGGTATCGCTATACCAATATTAAATGTCCGCTAAAATGTATTTTCGATTGATTGTATGTAAAAAGTACAATGTACAAAGTCCTAATACCGGTAATGATTAAAGCCATATCGTTGCCCGTCACACTTTTTGGGACACAATAACTCTCCTTCTAATTGAGCTAGAATGTTCAAACTTGGTGTAGGTGTTTATTAGGTCAGTGCCTTGATGGAGTTCGAAGATGAGCATTTTCTGGTTGGTCCCGAAATGAACTAATTTGTGTTGAGTGGACGTTAAACCCCATTTCTCTCTCTCTCTTAAAGAAAGGCCCATCTACAAAACCGGAAAGGGGGTCACGGTGGCTAAGTGGGTAAGACGCTTGCTCGCTACCTTGGAGGTCGGGTGTTCGATCCTTGCGTTGGCCGAGCGCCAGTACCGAGTAGTGTCGAATGGTACTGAATGTTTGTATTGTTGACTCGCGTAAACGAGTGTGTCTCTCTCTTCCGGTTCCTTCACTGACCATGCTGGATTATTAAAATATTCATCTTTGACAAAGTTGTTCGTTGAGTGTTCGTCCAAAGTGTGACACTATTGACTGGCGTGGTGGACGGAGTGGGATACAAACTTTTCGCTCATTATAAACTTGTACATTAGTTTAAAAAAAAAAACCTGTCAAAAGTGTCGTCGCTTTACCGAAACGGCGGTTGGACGAAGTTTTTTTTACTATAAATTGTCTTCACTCAATTCTCCCATACTTTGTATTGTGTATATTTTTGTGTTAACCAGCAAGTTCACCAATGGCGAATAACACACGTGCACCAAAACAGTGGTGCCTCACTAAACACGAGAATATTACTTCCTTTGAATCATGGCGACAGAATCTCCAATATTGTTTATCGCTGGATCCGAATTTTGCACCTTTCCTGCTTGACGGTGCAGTATGGCGAAAGAAAACTAATGCTGAACCTCTAAGAGGCTTTCAGAATGACCCACGAGACGCACCGGACCCAAGGCGTACAGCTCAACAAAAAGCTACTCATCTAGACCTAATGTTGGGTCAGATTGCAAATTATTGCCCGGTTGTTTCAAGGAACACTATTGTTAAAAATTCTACGTCAATTAATCAAATCTGGCAATGTATCCGCCTTCATTTTGGTTTCCAGTCCACTGGCGCACACTTCTTGGACTTTAATAACATTCGATTGGATTCATCTGAGCGTCCCGAGGATTTATACCAAAGACTCATGTCATTTATTGAAGATAATTTATTAAAGGCTAACGGTGATATATCGCATCATGGTGTAGTACCCGTCCTTGATGAAGAACTCTCTCCATCATTGGAAAATATCATCATTTTGGTTTGGCTTCGCCTCATTCATCCCGACCTACCTCAATTAGTTAAACAGCGGTATGGAACAGAACTTAGGTCACGTACCATTGCCAGCTTGAAACCTGAGATTTCACAAGCCCTGGATTCCCTTTTAGATGAAATACAATCCTCGTCAGAAGCTCGTGTTCTTCGTTCATCTACAAATGATTACTACAAGAAGCCATACACTAGTAAAAGACCTCCTTCTGCCAAGTCATGTCCTATTTGTAAACAGGCTGGCCGTCCTCGCTACCAACATTATCTCAGTTCGTGTCCGTTCTTACCTACAGCTGATCAAAAATTCCTTTCTAAAGCCAGACTTATTTGTAGCTTTGAGGGAGACAATGGTGATGATGAAGACGACAACCCTCCTGTACCTGTTGAATCTCCTCCTGGACATATCGCCTGTCGTGTTAGCATAAAGCAGTCTCCCCACATCAAAGCATTTTACAACCACCACCCGTTACAACTTACCATCGATACTGGAGCCGAAATTAATATGATTAAATCATCAGTGGCAAATTATATTGGTGCCCCTATTGAAAAAAGCACACAGCGTGCTCTGCAAGCTGATGGGATCACACACCTTTCCGTTATTGGTGAGACTTACATCACCCTCACAAGAGGTAATTCCACTCTACAACTCGAAGCTTTGGTTGTCGACGATTTAGATGTGGATATTTTGGCCGGTACCCCGTTTATGACAACGAATGATGTCTCGGTTCGACCTGCCTTGCAGCAAGTCACACTAGGTGAAAATGTCATTCAATATGGCCCTAATCCGCTGCAGTCATCTCACCATGCTGTTCGCAGAACTCAAGCATATGTGTTGCGCTCGCCTACTATATCCACCATCGTATGGCCAGGTGATTACCTCGAAGTTGACATTCCATCAGATATTGACCCAGATAGTACTCTTGCGATAGAAGGTCGATGGGATTCCCCACACTCTCGAAACAGTAAACCATCACAGATATGGCCTCAACCCACAATACTAGACGCTGTTGCCGGTAAACTTCGCATTCCTAACACATCTATTGAACCACAATCAATTTCATGACATTCACATTTCTGTCAAGCCAGATTGGTAAAGGACTATACACCCGGTGATACCAATTCTTCATTGGCCGTCACAACTTCAGCTAATGTACCACAAACTAAACAGCCACAGGGTCATAACTCAGCAGCCATAAAGCTAGATCCCGATAATATTTTGTCTTCAGATGACTTTAGTAAGTTCCAGAATCTATTACACACATTTGATAATCTCTTCAGTAAGAACATATCGTGCTATAATGGTGCTGCTGGTAATTTTCAAGCTGTAGTAAACATGGGTCCTGTCCAGCCCCCACAAAGAAAAGGCAGAGTTCCGCAGTACGCTAGAGATAAACTTACAGCATTACAGGAAAAATTTGATGAACTGGAAGCAGCTGGGGTGTTTCGTCGTTCTGAAGATGTTGGTGTGTCAGTAGAGTATCTTAACCCTTCCTTTTTAATACAGAAACCTAACGGTAGTTACCGCCTTGTTACCGCTTTTGCCGACGTTGGACGATACAGCAAGCCTCAACCTTCATTAATGCCGGACGTTGAATCTATCCTTCGCACAATTGCTTCCTGGCAGTATATCATTGTAACTGACTTAACAAATGCATTTTATCAGATTCCCCTATCAAAAGAATCGATGAAATACTGTGGTGTCGCTACCCCATACAAAGGAGTTCGTGTTTACACCAGGTCTGCTATGGGTATGCCTGGTTCCGAGACAGCACTTGAAGAGCTTATGTCTCGTGTTCTTGGTGACCTCTTACAGAGTGGAGTTATTGCGAAATTAGCAGATGATTTGTATATAGGCGACAACACCATAGAGGAATTGTTATCCAATTTTCAAAAGACATTATCGGCGCTCAATTCTTGTGATCTTCGGCTATCTCCTACCAAGACTGTCATTTGTCCTACTACTACGACTATACTAGGTTGGATATGGACGAAAGGTTCAATATCAGCTAGTCAGCACCGGATCAGTACGCTCTCGTCATATCCACCCCCTACAACTGTTCGTGGTTTACGGTCATTTTTAGGCGCATATAAGGTCTTGAGCCGAGTTATTCCTAACTGTTCTCACATACTTACCCCTCTCGAAGACTCAATCACAGGTTTACAGTCCAAAGATAAACTTACTTGGTCGGATGAACTTTTACTACACTTCACCAAGGCTCAACAGTCCCTACATACCAACCGATCCATCGTTTTACCTCGGTCAACCGATCAACTATGGATAATCACTGATGGTTCCGTATCAAAACATGGCATTGGCGCAACTCTGTACGTTACCCGTTCAGAGAAGCAGTTATTAGCTGGATTCTTCAGCGCTAAGCTTCGCAAACACCAGGTTACGTGGTTACCCTGTGAGATAGAGGCATTATGTATAGCAGCAGCAGTCAAACATTTTAGCCCATACATCATCCAATCCAGCCATAATGCTTGCCTTCTCACAGACAGTAAACCGTGTGTACAAGCATTTGAACGTCTGTGTCGTGGTGAATTTTCCGCCAGCCCACGTGTAACATCCTTCCTTTCGGTTGTCAGCAGATACCAAGTGAGTATTCGGCACTTGGCAGGTACTGCCAACGTGCCATCTGATTTTGCCAGTAGAAATGCCCTTCCTTGTGTAGAACCAACATGCCAGATCTGTCTTTTCATTAATACTACGGAAAATTCAGTGGTACGGAGTATCTCTGTTAAGGACGTCATGAATGGTAGTCAACGGTTACCCTTTACCACACGTTCTGGTTGGATCGCAACTCAACATGACTGTCCTGATTTACGCCGTGTTCATGCCCACCTCAAACAAGGCACTCGACCGTCCAAAAGTTAACAAATATCCGCGACATCAAACGTTACCTCAATCTTGCTACTATCTCTAAGGACGGGCTATTGGTAGTTAACCAGGATTCACCTCTGATGACCTCAACTGAATTGATTATAGTCCCACGCCCAGTTCTGGACGGATTATTAACTGCATTACACTTGAAGTTGGACCACCCATCACGGCACCAACTGAAACTAGTTGTAAAACGCCATTTTTATGCCCTTGATCTTGATTCTGCTCTGGAACGAGTATCGGATTCCTGCCATGTTTGCGCCTCTCTTAAACAGCTTCCGCATGCCTTTGTTGAACAAACATCAGAAGACCCACCCGAAGTAGTAGGTGTGTCGTTCGCGGCCGACGTAATGAAGAGAAACCGGCAACTTATTCTTATTCTTCGTGAAACCACTACATCATATACTGCCACATGTATACTGGAAAATGAACAACAGGTTTCTCTACGTGATGGTTTATTACAACTAGCCATTGCACTCCGTCCTCTTGATGGTCCCCATGCAGTTGTTCGAGTCGATCCTGCTCCTGCCTTTATTGCATTAAAGAACGATCCAGTATTAAATCAATACCATCTGTGTTTGGAAATTGGCTACCCCAAGAACCCAAACAAAAATCCTACTGCTGAGAAAGCCATCGCTGAATTAGAAAATGAACTTCTCCGTCAGGAACCGAAAGGTGGTACAGTTACCCCCCTTTCGCTCACTATTGCAACTGCACGACTTAATTCGCGAATTCGTGGTCGTGGATTGTCTGCAAGAGAACTGTGGACTCACCGAAACCAATTCTCTAATCAACAAATTCCTGTCTTGGACCAAGACATCATCATGGCCCAACACAGTCAACGACTCCGTAACCATGCCTTTAGTGAAGTTTCCAAAAACCTAAACCAACACGTGTGTCCTTCCTCAGCTATGAACATTCAAATCGGCGACTTGGTTTACCTTTGCTCTGAAGGGAACAAGACCGGCGCTCGTGATCGTTATCTTGTTATGAGTGTAGAAAATGGTTGATGTTTTATTCGAAAGTTTGCAGGATCACAGCTTCGTTCCATGCCTTACAAAGTCAAGTTACATGACATCTTTAAAGTACCAGAGCACAGTGTTCCCTCTCATCCTCCACAACATGAAAATAATGAGGATGAAACAGATACTGTCACAACTGATACTTGTACTATAGATGAATATCAACCTTTACATGTACCAGCGTTACCTGTAACGCCAGTCTTGCCCGAAGTCCCAGTCGAGCTAGCAGCCTCTGACTCTGAGATGACAGAAACCTTTCAACCCAGCACAATTGAAAATGAGATAACACCTTTACCAAATAATCAGTTGATTCCGTCTCGTCCTCAACGACCTCGCAGACCACCAACGTACCTTAAAGACTATGAGACTTAATAGACATTTTACTCATTACTTTATTGTGATCATTTATAATGTGTACATGTGTTTTATGTAAATTAAAGGAAAAGAGAAGTCACGCCAGTACCGAGTAGTGTCGAATGGTACTGAATGTTTGTATTGTTGACTCGCGTAAACGAGTGTGTCTCTCTCTTCCGGTTCCTTCACTGACCATGCTGGATTATTAAAATATTCATCTTTGACAAAGTTGTTCGTTGAGTGTTCGTCCAAAGTGTGACACTATTGACTGGCGGAGAAAGTTCATCCTTATCCCAACCCACAATCCACATATGACGTCATAAAATGCGCAGGACCGTCTCCAATCTAGCGTTCTCCGTGGTTTCTCCCCCTTGTCAGTGATGCAGGACGGAGGGCCTGACAAGGACAGCTGTCTAATCGTTTGGATGGGACGGAAAACCGAGGTCCCGTGTACATATTGGCGTGCACGTAAAAGATCCCTTGACAGTTGGAATTCGATATAAGAGTAGGCCGTAGTGGCGCTGTCCGGGCAAAATTTCCCTCATAGCACACTGTATGGCGTATGCCCGTCTTCATTAGCCCAGTTTGGAGCAGAACAATAGGACGTTAAACCCCATGTTATTTCATTTCATTTCACAAAACCGGAAAAGGACAAAATTATATAAGAGAGACCATTCACAAACACACATGCCGTGTTCTGCATTATAAATATAACCTTTATTGAAGAAAAAAATGCAATGATGCCCTAGAATCAACCGGGCGATAATGCTCCAGACATAATTATTATGGTCCTTGATTTAAGACGTGCTTATGTAATAATATTATATAAAAATCGTTTTACTTTTGTTGAAGACTTCATGAGAAATTAGATTACATATACAATTAGTTTGATCACCACTCCAGACTAAATTCAAGTCAAACTCTTAAACAAAGGAATAACTACGCAACCCGCGATGACTTTTGCATATTATTGACGGAGTTATTATTGTGCCCTTTCAAATTTTCATCACGTGTCAGTTAAGGATAAAATTTGTATGTAGTTTATATCAATATCAAAACGCTACATCCCTCGGGGACAATTAAATTTTCAAGTCAGTTTGACAAACAACTGTGGTCTGGAATCCCGTAAAAATAAAAGTTATATTCTACTGGGCCGAAACAACTTCCTTAATATCCAAGTAGGCCGAAACGACTCAATGCCAAACCAGTGCCCGCGTCCCTCTTCAACTATTCCAGATAACTAGGCCAAACATGACTGATGTTCAACATACCAACATAGCTATAGAAAGATAACTTGATCGATAAAAGCCCGCCAACAATCACGTGCCCTAACCTTATATACATCTCAACGACCTTGACGAAAATTGAACTGGCCTTAACAAAATAGATTTAGCCGAATTAGGGTTTATTTGGTATGTTTTTCCTTTTTAATAATATTCAGAAAGATTTTTAAAATTTCGCGGACCGGAAATATGCAAATATTACACTTATTTTTCATATTAAAACAACTTTTTGTGGTAGCATTCTCCTTTCAGGCCCCCGGACCTCTTGTTTCGTGGATAGTTATTATGAATTCTTTAATTCAAGTAGCTGTCATTATCATCCATCAATTATAATAAGTTCAAGCATTCACTTCAATGTAAAATCAATAAATCTATTTGGCCTTGTTTCAGGACAGAGAATTACAAAGATTAGTTAGAGGACAATGGCACAGGTACGTTTTGATAAAATATATCTTTGAACCGTACTAATAGATCAACAGTAGATTATCCTACATATTTGACCGGTATTGTTTTTTTTTATGAAAAGCAGATCAAATTACCACAAATACTTTATTGATTGGACATAAATGTTTTCATACACGGCATTTAGAGGTGAAGATACGGAAGAACAGGAGTTAGTATAAACCTTAAAGCAATATTTATTATTTCTGGTCAAATGCAATGACGTAAAAGACTTAAATACAGTTAAAACAAATACGCACAATGTATTGATGTAATTGACACGTCTGTTTAAACGCTTTACTGTATAAAGACATTTTCGATCAGATTTTATGTTTTCAATTTTCATTGATTCAAGAATAAATAAAACCCGGTCCAACTTACTCGATCAACATTTTTCTACCAGGTTAAGTCATTGGATGGGTGGTATATTTTCAAGCTTTGCAAGTCCTACGGAAAAAAACCTATCGAAATTTTGACAGGGCTTTGATTTCCGATCGCAAATCCAGAAGACGTCGCACCTTAAAAAAACTTTTTGCAAATCGTGTAGAGATAGTCAGTATTCCATTTTACAACTCTTCGTCTTCAGAGCTGAAAACCCTCTGCAGTTACCACTCTCTAACACACAAGGTCTCCTATTTTTGCGTCCCACCCGGAACAAGACATCACGAACGAACAATGGCAATGATCTTCACTTTCGGTTTTTCATTTGTATTACTAACCTGTTTAACCTATCCGTTCACATATATGTAAAACGTCATTTAAGACTCACCAAATTATCGAAAACATCAAGGGTTATTTTAAATCTTTGAATTAGAGTCCAGTTATTATGATGATTGGGGACATGTTTTCACTTTGATATAACAATTTCTGTAGCCTTAGATAAAAAGACTAATTAATGATAAAATAAAACTGCACAATATTTTTCAAATCTGCGATTGGCAAAACCACGTTTTGGGTGAATTATTTATTTCGATTCATCGCATTCTAACAGCTTCAGTTTTCTGTCAAACCATATAGAAACTTGTTATAGGTAACGCGGACGTCTTTGCTGCAGGGTTCATCTGTTAACCTCCAGTTTTATGTTGTTGGAATAAATTCTCAAACTAGTATTTGGATCTATAGTTCCTGGATTATATTCAATAATCTTCGCTGATGGAGTTGGGATATGAAATCTTGGAGATCATCCGTATCTATAATCGGATGGTGAAGAACGGTAGATTGGATTTTTGTGATCAGCCTTATGTTATAATCATAATACATGTATTAAAGAACCAGGGATTGGTTTTGAATTTGACCACAGATAAATTTTGTAAATTTACGTAATTCGACCAGCCAATTTTTATATTTTTCTTTGTGAAGGTGTGTTGGAAGCCTACAGATGAGATCTGGTAAAATGAAATGTGTTGCTATACGACCAGCGTCTGCTGAAGAAAGAAAGACAGCGAAGATAACAGCCGCTGTATCAGAACGATGGTTACAACACTTTACTAAAAGCTTTAACGAACAATAATTACTTGTAATTTTGTTGTATTAATAATGTAAGATTTAGATAAACAGCTGGTCTTCTTGCTATAATAGTTCAAAAATAGATAATGACAAATGAATATATTGAAAATCTCTTTCAAATTACTTTATTCTGAGCGAAGATATAAGCCTTTGAAGGTTTGACAAGATGTGAGCACTAAGTATAACCACCGCCCTAGTTGTTCGAGGCTTAGCCTCGTTTCGCCATTTTTAGATTAAATCATTAAATGGCTGAACCGTTCTAATCTACCGGTACTTAAAATCGGACCTACCCGATGGCATAGAATCATGATTATGGTTTTGTCATGTTAATAAATGTTTAATTAATAGTTCATATAACATTTAAGGCCCATCTCTTACATAAAGCCTGTTTAATTAAAACTCATTTTTATAAAATAAAAGCTAGAATACACCATAAAGGGGTGTTTCTGTGGGTTTTTGACTCATTCCACCCAGATTTAATTTCATGATCAGCTTATAAGATCCAGGTGTCTGAATAATCGAGGTAGCTGCAGTATTAATTGTTTTGCGTTGCTTGTTGGGTATTATTTGAAAAGCCCTACTGTCAACATCTTTTTAAAGAGGTAACATTTTATAACCAGAGTTACAGGGTAGGGAGATTTCGGGACTTACATGCGGTACAATTTTATTTCAATAATTTGCTTGCGCGTAGGGGTCTTTAGCAGTGTGGGGGGGGGGGGACGGAGGACGCGAAGAAAACCCACTCGTTTACACGTAGAAGTATGGGATCGAAATCTCGCGACCTGACCTTATGATTCGGCCACTCAACGTCCCTGCATCATTGGTCTTGGGGCTTGACAGAATGAATGTTCTTGAGGGTCAGTTCAAGCGTGAATACCCACGACCAATTCTGCTACGCTAATAAAGAACCTACTTGAATTGAACCAAACAGCAAATCAGTGATCGAACTGATTATTTAGTTTTTAATGTGTGCACACGAAATGGCAAATTAAATCACACTAACATTTCTCAGAACACCAAATTGATTTTCAGAGTATTTATCAAGAATAAAACTATAACTTAAATGTCCGGGTCATTGATCGTAAGCCTTCATTATGTCGGAAGTATTTTGCCAAGGACACTTTAAGCCTCGAGCAAACTGCGTCATAGTAGTACCATATAAAATTTTGTCCCTAGACCATTTGACTTAAAGATACAAGATGTCAAGACTAAACACTGACGTTAACTTTGGTTCAACACCACCAGACACAAGTTCAACGTCCGATTTTCGCGTCATTAAGTCATCATCATGGGAACTGCATCGTCGTCAATGCGCCTTTTAGAGTACCCAGATTTTGTTTGTTCTTAGTATGGTTTCTTTCGAATAATAACCATAGCTGTCCTGAAATGAAAGGCCGTAATTAGAACTGAAAAAAGACACACCAAGAGTGGTATGATTGATAATTCAGCACAAAAGCCAACTTTTTCAAAAACAACAATTAAAATTTAAAAAGTTCCCAAAAATCGTTATACTAATGATTACAGTCACCTTTCCGTTCGGTTAGAGGGTACCATTATTTGTATTCGACGCTACAATATATGGGTAATAATCTTTTGGGGAAGATGCATTACATTGTGAATGTGATAGGGGCTACAGTTTTTAATGGATTTTGTTTCATATTGGACGGGAGATGCTTCACCCTAATGTTTTTCGGTCGGAGAATGAACCCTAGAGATTTTCATATGTGAAGCATTGGGAATGAAGTGGATAAACCCTGTTGATTTTAAGAATGTGGCTTTATGTTCCAAAGATAGACGCATATCATGTGCCCAGAAAACGTGGTGAACAATTTTTGAAGGCATAAATAGCCTTATTAAAGTTTATTAATATTTACGTTTTCCTTTCCGATAATCCGCTATGGCTATTTTAGCTGCTGTGTGGGCAAATTTATACGCGTTGTCTATTTTAAAATGCTGTGGAAACGGTAACGTTTGCATTGTTTGGGTAGTTTTCAGGGCAGCTGGGTTTCTCCCTACCCTTCGACTTGCGGGACAACTGACAAACATAATTTCCTGTGCAGCAGGCGTTATTTCTCATAAATTGGGATGGAAAACATCTTCCCGGACCTCGCCTTATCGTATTTAAAACGCAATTAAATTACTAATACCTTCTAAAGTAGTACTTTCCAAATAATTTAATTTGTTTAAAATAAACATGTTACTTTAAGAAGTGATACATTTCTTGATAAAGTACGTGATATGAAGTATTATCCACTGTAATCTTTGTAATACCACAGGATGTATTTAGATATATTAGAAAAGAAATTCTGGATATAGGTTCTTTGTTCTCCTCCAACACGACAAAACCAGCTTTTCAAATTATTGATTTTTTGTTCTCTTCAGCTCGTACAGTTGACGTCAGCAAATTTGTAGACTTGTTGGAGAATGTCAACATCCTCTCTATATGAGGTCATATGGCATGATAATTACTGTCCTAATCAGGCTGAAAATAAAGTGCTAATGGAGTCATATTATATATAATTTAGAATTTCCTACAATAGTATTTAAATAGAAAATTAAAGAATAAACTGTTTATATGTTTCTATCTTTGGAATATTATAACAGAAAAACAAAATGAGACCCTTTCTTCTTATATAAGTCATATGTGGAAAAGAAAAGATACACCAGGTTTTCACTTCACAGCCACAAAAACATGTGCAATGAATATTTATGCAAATGAGGTACATTTTCTTTTCAATATGGTGCAATGAGTTGTCTAGTGGATTTAAAGTTACAATTTCATATTTTTAAATTATATTTTTAAAATGTATTAAAATAAAGCCCTAAAATAGATGGTATCTATAAACAGTCCTACCTTGTTAAAGAATAATCCTATTAATCCTATAATTCACTATTGCCAGTTGAGAAATTGGCAAAAATATCATTTTCAAATTCAAATTCAAACGTTTGAAGATAGCTATTCCATGGTGGGGGATTAGGAAAACAAGGGAGGTAATTGGGAGGTAATTATGTTATTATTTCCGGTGTGAAGATTTTTAAGTGTGAGAAAGATAACCTATGATCGTATAATAGTGAGTTGACAACCTATTGAGCAAAAGACATAGAAATGATTATGTTTTGACTTTCTTAGAAAATATGAAATTGTAACTTTAAAGGTGTTAGTACATATGTAACTAGCCTGTTACTTAGAAGAATTACAGTTACTAGGTTTAACACCCAGTTAAGATGGCATTATATTTCAATCAACATTACGGTTTAGATAACACTTAATTTCCCATTAATTTGTTAACTAGCTTGATGTGCCTTATCTGCAGCATTTCTGGAAATCAAATTACGGAATGGTAAATAGGCTACAGCTAATAGTAAAGTGTAGAATAATACTCATCAGAGGTGGCGATATCATTCAGATTACTGACCTAATCTGAATTTTGAAAACTCGGAAGTCGTTACCGATGTCCTAGAATAGAACTTGTAAGAAAAAGAAGTACCCGAGGGCACAGATGACGCTGTTGTCGATGTTAACAGACTTGGTAAGCCGGGTTTTTTTTTTACCCCTAATGATAAAAATGATTAGTATTTACACGCTGTTATCTGTTTAATATTTTTATTACACGCCCTAGTCTGTGTCGACGACATATTTTTATCCGGTATTAACGTAACTTAAAAAATACTATGTTTATATTCCAAAGATCTCAGCTCCTTTCGATAACGGCATGTATCTTCTTCAATCCTAGACCAAACTGGCAACAAAAACTACCAAGGAACCACATTCGTAATTTGTTCAACTATGAGAATCAAAAGGGTTCTTCCCCTTAAATAGAAAAACGTTGAAAACAATGAACTTCCTCCTCCACAACTGGAAAAATCTGGAAAAGTTAAAATCAAAAGGACTTAATGATAAGTGTGTCCAAATTGCAATGAAAAATAATTATGGAAAGACGGACGGGCAGTGTTGCGGGTATGGCGGCAATACAAATCATTTATGCCAGGGAGTGTTTAAGCTGTAGTTAATTTCTACAAATTATAAGATAAGGTAGCCATATATATTAGGGGTTGCGTAATCTTGGGGGTATGAATTTGTTCAGACCTTACGAAATAAATCACACCTACGTATAATATTAGTGCAACCTATGAATAAAAAAGACCATTATGTCTTAAAATGACATTTATATATGTACATGTATAGGTTCATAGCTACAATTGGGCCTATTTTTTCACAACCATTATTTAAAATAAAAGATCAAAAATAAAAATGGATGTGAATACAGATTTATAGACTGAATGATTTCTTCGCACCTTTTATTAAAACAAAAAATAAAAAATAGTGTGAATAATCTTCAAATAATATAATACTGTATATAGTGCGTATATTATATATAATTATCCGTATGTAGTGTATGGAATCAAATGTCATACTTTACTTTATGATCTGATTTTACTTTCATTATAAAAAATGTTTTACAACACCCCTCCCCCACCCCCATCCACTGGTCAACTAAAGATTCGCTAGGGAATCCTTGAAGACTCTTTTCTTTTATTAAAACGGCAATAATTCGTCATTTTATATCGGGAATTTCTTGTCCTATAGTAATTTAATTAGACAATATAAAACAGATTAATATTCATTGCTGTTCGTTCAGTTAAATAAATTTGATTAAGACTTATTACAAATTTTTTTTTTTTGTTCTTTCTTTTTTTTCTCTCTTTCTTTTTTTGTGTGTCTTTCGTTTTTGGCCTCTAGACTGGAATCACAAATTTTCTTGCTTTCTAGATTTCTTTTGCTGATTCTCGACATCAACTTCCATTCAATGTACATGTAACTCATTCAACAGTTTTTGCTAGCTCTGCTAACATGGAATGTTGCTTTCTGAATTTCTTTTGCTGATTCTGGACATGTAACTCATTCTGCAGTTTTGGCTAGCTCTGTTAGCATCGAATGTTTTTTGTTTTTCTTTTAGTCTTGTGTGATATTTTTTTCAAACTAAGAAAAATTTCAACTGACATTCGGATTTTCTCTGATATAGCTAATTTAAAATACTGGCGATCAAACGGTAATGACGTCAGGGAAATCTACGCCCCCATCTTAGACCATGGCGACCTATTAATCTGTTCTAAGCTTCTTTAGTCGT